AAGCTCAATTCGGGACGTCAATTTAGCTGAAATAATTGAACATGTAATTATATCAAATATACGTTAACTGTTCTACCTCAACTTTCGCTTTATCGACCACTCGTAAAAAAACATTTGCACACCACTAAAGATAATTTTTGAAAAAAAGGGGAAAGGGCAAAGCTATTACTGTTATTTTAAGCTGGCTTAGTAGAACTTTCAAGCTATTTTTCAAAGGATCACAAAAAAGTATCAGATCTAGAATTATCTCCATTACCTTTAGTCACATCAATGAACTTCTAAAAAAAGCTGCCAAAAGGAATAGGTTTTGTCTAAATTTTGTTCAATAAGGTTATGCACTTGCTTTTCTTTAACTTACTTGTCAGCAAACGCTATTTTAACGCACCTCGATGTCAATTGGGCGACAGATTGTGCATGCGCTGGAAGATATCTACAATAAGTTTCCTTGCAGTGTACAGCTCGAATTGGATGCAGAGAAATGTTCTCACGTCAAACAAAAATCCACTAGCAGTCAAGCAATAAAAAAAAGCAGAAAATAGCCAGGTAATGCCACTGAATCTGTGATATGTCTTTTTCCGATAGAGCTGAAATAATTGAACCTGTAATTACATCAAATATATGTTAACTGTTCTACCTCAACTATCGCTTTGTCGACCACTCTTAAAAAAACCTGTGCACACCACTTAAGATAATTTTTGAAAAAAAGGGGAAAGGGCAAAGCTATTACTGTTATTTTATGCTGGCTTAGTAGAACTTTCAAGCTATTTTTCAAAAGATCACAAAGAAGTATCAGATCTAGAATTATCGCCATAACCTGTAGTCACATCAATGAACTTTTAAGAAAAAGCTGCAAAAAGGAATAGGTTTTGTCTAAATTTTGTTCAATAGGGTTATGCACTTGCTTTTCTTCAACTTAAAAGTCAGCAAACGCTATTTTAACGCACCTAGATGTCAATTGGGCGACAGATTGTGCATGTGCTGGAAGATATCTACCATACGTTTCCTTGCAGTGTACAGCTCGACTTTGATCCAGAGAAATGTTCTCACGTCAGACAAAAATCCACTAGCAGTCAAGAAATAAAAAAAAGCAGTAAATAGCCAGGTAATGCCACTGAATCTGTGATATGTCTTTTTCCGATAGAGCTGAAATAATTGAAAGTGTAATTATATCAAATATACGTTAACTGTTCTACCTCAACTTTCGCTTTGTCGACCACTCTTAAAAAAACCTGTGCACACCACTAAAGATAATTTTTGAAAAAAAAGGGGAAAGGGCAAAGCTATTACAGTTATTTTAAGCTGGCTTAGTAAAATTTTCAAGCTATTTTTCAAAAGATCACAAAAACGTATCAGATCTGGAATTATCGCCATAACCTGTAGTCACATCAATGAACTTTAAAAAAAAGCTGCAGAAAGGAAAAGGTTTTGTCTAAATCTTGTTAAATAAGGTTATGCACTTGCTTTTCTTTAACTTACTTTTCAGCAAACGCTATTTTAACGAATCTAGATGTCAATTGGGCGACAGTTTGTGCATGTGCTGGAAGATATCTACCATAAGTTTCCTTGCAGTGTACAGCTCGACTTTGATCCAGAGAAATGTTCTCACGTCAGTCAAAAAACCACTAGCAGTCCAGCAATAAAAAAGCAGTAAATAGCCAGGTAATGCCACTGAATCTGTGATATGTCTTTTTTCGATAGAGCTGAAATAATTGAACCTGTAATTATATCAAATATACGTTAACTGTTCTACTTCAACTTTCGCTTTGTCGACCACTCTTAAAAAAACCTGTGCACACCACTAAAGATAATTTTTGAAAAAAGGGGGAAAGAGCAAAGCTATTACTGTTATTTTAAGCTGGCTTAGTAGAACTTTCAAGCTATTTTTCAAAAGATCACAAAAAGTATCAGATCTAGAATTATCGCCATAACCTTTAGTCACATCAATGAACTTTTAAAAAAGCTGCAAAAAGGAAAATGTTTTGTCTAAATTTTGTTCAATAAGGTTATGCTATTGCTTTTCTTTAAATTACTAGTCAGCAAACGCTATTTTAACACACCTAGATGTCAATTGGGCGACAGACTGTGCATGTGCTGGAAGATATCTACCATAAGTTTCCTTGCAGTGTACAGCTCGACTTTGATCCAGGGAAATGTTCTCACGTCAAACAAAATTCCACTAACAGTCAAGCAATTAAAAAAGCAGTAAATAGCCAGGTAATGCCACTGAATCTGTGATATGTCTTTTTCCGATAGAGCGTTTACGACTTTTGAAACTCTCTCATTTACCTTTTTAGTTCTTTGTAGCACCTACTTTTTTTGCTCTTCAGAAGTGGAAATTATTCACGGTTATTTAAGCTCCCTCGACTAGCGCGCGTTCGTTGTTCAAAATTGGTGTTTCTTCGGATAGTTAGAAGCTAGTTATGTTAACTTCACAAAACCAGAAAGACATTTGTCTGAAAAGCGAAAGAAGGGTTGGGTTATTCAATGTTGATTCTAGTTGGTTTAAATGAAAACGAATGTCAAGAATTTAAGCTCTATTAGAGTGTTGTTCATTATCAATTTGGTGATGAATATCAATTCGGTGATGAAAAATTGCCGAAATCGGTTAATAGTTTTACATTGAACAAATCAAAACAAAAATGGATTAATTTTAGAAGCTAACTGATCTTCGGTTTACGATAATCAAATAGCGCAATGCCTTAAAGCTCTGTGAATTTTCAGAACGATAATAAAAACTTCTTTGATAAATTTAACCTAATTTGAGAAAACTGAATCAATAGGTAAAACTTTTATTCCGCTGGAAAATTCAATAATTAAATTTCACTTTCGAAATTAGAAGTCGATCATGTGACTTTTATAATTTTGCTGATCGATAGTGGAATTAACCCTCCTTTTAACAAAGCCTGAACAAATTATAAGACTTTTTTAGAAAAAAATGATCGAGACCTATATAAGTCTGAAATACGTTCATCAACTCTTAATAGAATAAATCATAGTCATTAAAAACATAAAATAAGCTTTGCTTCGCAGACACTAGCGAGAACACGACAAAGCAGCTCTATGAAGTGCAATAAGAAAAACTTTGTGATCGAAAACGTCCTTATCCTTTGCTTGGAATAAATAGTACTAAAAAATTTTTTTTGAGAATCGAACAATACACTACCGAGCACAGTTTGCTTGTCATTGATTATATAAAGATAATTGCTACTTTAATTATCGAATATCCAAGGAAATTTCAATTTATTTATTCGCTCCTCTTAACTGAACAACATTTTAACATCATTACTCCATCTTAAACTGGATTATTAGCTTTTTAAAATAAATTTAGAGCTCAAATAAATTTTTTCGAGCACAATTCCTTGGCGTGAAATACAACAAGTAAGGATTTAAATGAAGGATTGATTACATAGTGAAAACCTATAAACCGCGAAATGATCCATAGCACCATTTTATGTTTCGAATTAACCTGCTCGTAATCAGTGGCTGGTCACATCATCTTAAATTACACTTCAGTCAGCCGGAACTGGTTTTTTGAGGGGGAGCGATAGGGTTACTTCTTCATCTTCTCAATTGAGCCGTTAATGTGTTGCAGGAATTCGACGTAGGATGAGCTGCCGTCAGTTCTGTCATCTACCAGGCTCTCAAAAAACAGAGCCTTGCTGGGGTCATCGTCTCTGAGTATTAGGATGGGTGCGTGGTTTGGCCTCGAGTCCAGCAAGTGGAATATGAAAGCTCTGAGGGCATTTGACACAGTGTTGTCTAACTCAGGCAGCGACTTCAATCCTCCAGATGGTATGCCAGTGGGATTCGGAAGGTCCAGGACCTTCATGCACCAGTTCATTGATACGTGACTTCGCACCAAAAGGATCATCTGGGTGCCCTTGTCCAGAAGGTATGCCCCGTCACGAGACAGACTCTCTGCTGACAACTGAAGTTGGGGAGGCTGGGGGATCTTTCCCTCTGCGAAGCTGAACACGGTCTCCTGGTTGGCGTTGGTGGGCGTCTCGTTTGGATCAGATCCCATTAGAGGCTGTAGATGAATATTGTGTACTGGGTACATTGGAGGGTAAATCATATGCATATCTGAAGTTATTATATGTTCAGAAGTTATTTTTTGTTGGATCTATACCCTTACTTTTTGTTTCTATTTTTTTTCTATCATTTGTTTCCTTCATTATGAAAAAAATCCCTTCCCCTCACCAGACATAGAGAATCAATCAGCATCAGAATTTATAGAAAACTGACTAAACAGCATCATTGGTACAAATTAGGTAATCTGGAAAAAAAATATATCTATATAAGTAATCAAGAAAAAAAGTTATTGAGATAATGTTGAAAAAAACATTATCGAGAGTCCAAATGTCTCGGCGTGCAAAATTATGTCCCTTGAGATATCCCCCTCGAGAAAATACTAGATCTAAATAAGGACGTGATTTTAAACGAGTTTTAGTGTTATTTGAAAAAATAACTATTTTTAATGAAAAAAACAAGACACGTGACAAAAGTTCAGAATTCATTCGAAAATTTCAAAAAAAAAAATTTCAGATCTGATCATGTCTGATGCAGTTCAGGACAGACATGCAATCTCACAACAAATGGATTCAACCTGGGCATATCTGTATTTTTATTTTATTTCCGTAACATTAAAATTGTTGTATCTTCCAGGTCTGAACATGTCTGATACAGTTCAGGGCAGATATGCAATCTCACAACAAATGGATTAACCCTGGGCATATCTGTATTTTTATTTTATTTCTGTACGGGTTATTTTGATCATGTTGGATTTCTTCGTCATAGTTTTATTGTACTTTTTGGCATGAAATTTTATCGTTTGAGGAACATATATCTAAAAACGGTTACTTTTGTTTGACTTTTTTCCCCGCTGAAGTTATTTGCTAATGAAAAAAAGTTTTCCGAGAAAACTGAAAAATCAAAATAGAAAAAAAACTTGGTTTGAATAAGTGACATTTTTCTCACAAGCAGAAGGAATATTGTTTAACCTGCGATCGTCAGCTGGCTCTCCACAGCTTCTATGAGTTTCTTTACTTCGGGATCCATTTTGAAACAACAGGAAAGTGAGTGTTTAAAACAGATGTGAAACAAAATACTATTTGTACAATTTACTTAACCTGCAAGCAAATATCTCATTTGCATCAATCCGTGTTCCTAAAAGATCTTTCAAACCCCCTTTAGCTAGTTATAGGTCATTTAACACAAGTTGTCTTTAAGCAAACCTTTGAATATTAATATTTTATCTGTTTTACAAACATTTGGAGTAGTTGCTCCGGACAAACTCAGCACAAATTTGCCACCAGGCCTCTGACTTCCACGTACAAATGTTGGAGATGGTTTAGAGGCACTAGTTCCATGGAATCCAATGACTAAATACGGCTAAAAAAATGCCGCCAAATCGCTCATTGCCAGAAAAATCCGACGGCAAACCAGTTTCAGTCATTGAGGCGAACTGCTCCAAATTTCACTGGATTGCAGATTGCACAATTTGTCGAGAAACTCCTCAATTTGTAATTTGTAGCTTAATGCTATAGATTGCCTATGGATTCTATGATTTGTCACTGGATTTCACAAACATACCATTGAACTATGAATTGACGGCTGAACCCACGGACAGTTTGCGGAGTCCAGTGACATTAAATGAAAGCAATTGGGCGTCAAATGTCATTAAAAACCGCGTTTTTGGTGGTTTCTAGATGATTTTTTTGCTAGTGTGAATTCAACTTTAAGAACTACTGTTTAAACCCAGGTATTTCGTCTTTCTTCATCAAGTTTCTGACTTAGAAGCAATTTTTGAAATTCTCTGCAATGTGAAGCAAAACAAAGATACCACAGTCAGGGGCGGATTCCTTTGATATTTCCCTTACCAGAATGCCAGAGCCAGAGTAATCAGGGGGATCTAAATTTTTCTCGAGGGGGAGGTGGTTTTTCATCAAATTTTCGAAAATTTTGTCGACCTTTTTTTTAGCTAAAAAGACCCTGTTTTGGTCAAAATTTTTGCGCCGCAAGCAAAGTTTGAAAAAAAAGCCAAAAAGGTATTTTTAGGCACTTTTTGGAAAATTTTGACCAAAAAAATCACGTTTTTTCGGCACGCGCTCCGCCTCAAAGTTAGTATATATTGGCCGTTAAAAATTAGTAATTTTTGGGTCTGTTAACCAAAAATGGATATCTCAAAATAGTACAAAGGGCGTCAGGGGTCGGCAGGGGGTCAAATCCCTGAGGAGGGGGGGGGGGGGCGTCTACCCTAAATCGGCCCCTGAGGGTAATGAAAAATGGTATTATTAAGTTGATTTCAATTATCTGGCAAGAAACCATTACACTGAAACAAAAAAGACTGAAGTAGCCAGTTGCTGTGAATAGTGCAAACATTGTTCCGAGCAGTCCAATTGCTAAGGAAACCAAATTATAAAGTTTTTAATGTTTCTTGTGAACAAAAAAATCTGAAACCCGAAATCATTAAAGAGGCGAAGCTGCATTTCGCAAAAACAACCAATAAAAGGCATATGGAAGTTTTTTGGTACAAGATGGAAAAAATAGTGAAAATTGTTCCAAAAAATTGAAGCAAATTGCCGGCTAAGAGATCTGAACCTCCATTTACCACACTTTGAGCCTCAATTTTTCATAACTGTACTAATTCAGAATGCTGGAAAAATTTATTCAAACTCACGCAAAACACAAAAGCGCGAGGACTGCCAATGAATAATTGAAGCCGTTGTCTGAGATTAGAAAGGGTTTTAAAACAAAAAAATGACTGAAGTGAGCTGACTGCAGCCAAGAAGAGACAAACTGCAGCCAAAAAACACGGTTTTAGGCTACTTTATTAACAACTGGGTTGACCTAATACACCGAAAATGCTTACCAAACAATTCCATGCACCAAAAAACCAAGTGTATGGAAAAATGCATATATAGAAACTGTATGACTAACATTTTTTTTGATGGTGACAAAGTAGTTTCGAAAATGCTCCGAAAAAATGCTTTTTTACTGCAAAATGAAATTTGTATTCAAACACACATTTCCAGATATCTTTTTTTGCATGCAAAATTGAAGTTTTTTTGCGGCTAATGTAGAACTGGATGCATAAAAGTCTGACTAATTTTTTTCAAAATTGCTCAGAAAGCCTTTTTTTTGTTTAAGTATGCCTTCATCAATGCCTGATTAAATAAAAATGCAAATTATAAAAATGATCATTTTATGATTTTGTCCCCAAATATTAAACGTTTGATACTTTTCTTATATCATGTGTGTAAGCCAACCCTGCCCTTGCCACTTGTGTTTGGTAACGAAAACAAATAAAACGTTTTGAGAAGAAATACTTGTCATACATTTTTCGTATATGGAAAACTGTGCAAAAATCGTTTAACTAATAGGATTGTTTAATAATTCTAATTGATTGACAGTATTTCGTCATTCAGTTCCTCCATTGTGAGAGTGATTTCATACAATGTTTTGTACGTATAGAAGTGTGTAGCAAGAAATTTTTTACATCAAAAAATTATTTGATAAGAAGTTTTCGTTAACCCTGAAACTTCATTCCAAAACAAAATTTCAATCCCTGTAGAAGGTGGCGCCGATGTGGGACCGAATGTTAGAAATTTATTTTCACCTATTTTCAGCCAATGTGAGCTTGGTGATCGAAAACCTCAAAAAATCGAAAAAATTTATAAAACCGAAGCAGTTCAGGCCATTAAAATGTTTTATTGAGCTATTAGAAATTGAGCAGATACACCATTTTTTGATTATGGCGAATTAAAAACCGGGTATAAAAAACCTATAACAAATTTTCAAAATTTGAAAAAAAGTGTATCTGCAGGAATTTCTCAGAAAAGTTTTACTGTGCTGCTCTATTTCATTTTCTGTTATTCAGGACCACAGTTTTGTGCAAAAATCGTTTAACTAATAGGATTGTTTAATAATTCTAATTGATTGACAGTCTTTCGTCATTCAGTTCCTCCATTGTGAGACCCCCTGTAGAATGCGTAGTGATCAAACTGCTCTTTGTTTCAACAATTTCTTGAAGTTGTTTCACGCTGACTACTTATATCACAACTATCATGCTTTTCGCCCATTCTTTTAATTGTACTAGTTTTCTGGTTTTTAATAATTTTGATTCCGTTGGCCAAAATATTTTTTGAAAGCGGCGTTCGCCAAAATTTTTTTTGTCAGTTCTAATACCTAATAGGTTTTGGCCGAAATATCGCAGATATGAAAGCGTATCAAAAATATTCTCTCAGACTGGATCAAGTTTGATACCATCAATATTCTTTTTTCTCTTTTTCAATTTATTCATTACAATACAACTCAAGCAAGCCTAGCATTGCACTTTGGTGGATAGGAAAGGGGCAAAAACTCTTGCCTCGGAATTTTATAATGTCAAAAACACTACATAAACAAGTTTTTCACGTATGGTTCGCTTTCTCTTAAAATGGGGAAAAATGCCAAAAAAGACAATCGCCAATGTTAAATATGTTTTCTAAAAATTATATTAAGTGGCATCTAAGCCAACAAGAATTGAGTAGTCGGCCGTCGAAGAGCAAACAAAATTGTCTTAAATTTTTAATATACTTTCAGAACTCAAAAACTTCAAGCTGTCTTCCTGAATCACACTAAAATATTAAATCCCAAACATTACAACAAAAATTGACGACTGAGAAGGTAACACAGTAGCAGAAATAATTTAGCCGAAAAAAATCTGAAGCCAAAAAGAAAAAATTTATATTACGAGGGCAAGCTGTGTACCTTCTAAATTTTTGGTGTTTTCCTATCGAATGTGCAACACAGCTATTTTTTCTATGCTGTTGTGGAAATCACAGACAAACGGCTAACGTGTGCACTGTTCAAAATGGCTCCATAAGCAGCAAATTTTGCGGAATCTAGAGCAGTTTGTGAAATCTGAAAACAAATAGTTCTACATGTATGCAGTGGCGTGTTCTGTCGCGGAACTTGCTTTCTGTGAGCCGAATCTGCAAATTATAAGCTGAGTCTGCAAATCGCTGTTAATTTTTTTTACAATTGCAGAATCCACTCAAAGTTTGTTGAATTGACCTCCAAATGGGTAATCCGCAAGAACTAGCTATATTGATTTAATGTATTCCTTTAACATCAGGAAAAATTCCGAAAAAGATATTAAGCTACAAGTCATTAACTATTAAAAGACGTTAAACAACCAGTCATAAAATTCAAACAAAACTGCTCGTATCAGGGCGCAACCCTGAATGTTCCGACTGCCTTTTAAGGTTTATGGAGCAGTAATAACATTAAAAAATTCAATGAAATAAAACAAAATCAACAAAAATTTTTTTCTAAAATTTGAAATTTTTCATGTAAATCATCCCTCCACACGCCATACAAAGTACAAAAGGATAGATTTCACTCCTTGCAACAAACCAATTATGGCATATAAGCTTCTTTTAACCAATTTAGAACGATTTCTGAGGCGGATTAACTCTCCGCTTATGCGTTAATAGCTCGAAGTATATCGCGCGTTAATTGTCCCAAATTGGCCAAAATGGCAATCTTTAAACCCCCGTAACTTTGCAAAAAATGATCACAGGTAAAATACCTTTTCAAATTTGAGCTCAGGACAACAATACTTTCGAATGATTTAAAAAAATTCCGCCAAAAATGGCTAGTTAAAAAGTCGAAATTTGTCTGAAGAAAAAAAAACCCACCCCCAGCACAAATATTCCGTCACTTTCGTATCGAAAGTCGGAACAACAAGCGGTATTTAAGCCAACAAGAATTGAGAAAACGAGTGGAATCTACAACTAACTTGCTATTTTGTCCAGTTGTCTTACGGATTCCTCGACACAACCAATGTGCCGACATATATTACGTTAGAGATAGTTGATTGTGGAGTCTGCGGCAAATTCTAAAGATTTCGGATTTTTGTTTGTTTGGAACACATTTAGAGACTTGGCGGTGGACTCTAGGGTCCTACACACACAAAACTCAGACCTGGTAGGCTAGCATATTTTAGGTTTTGTAAGGCAATGACACTAAAAATCAAAAAACTTAAAACAATTTGAGACAAACTTCTGAACTTCAGATGTAAAAATTTGAAGAAAAATTTCGTTTTTTTTCTAGATCAATTTTTTAATAAACATTTTTTTAAGCAACTGCAAACTAACTGAGTGCATTGACCACATAAATCACATTTGCAGTTTTTCTGCTAGACAATTTGTTCAGAAAAAAAAACCATTTTCCTTGATTGATAAAAAAATGGATAAGCTTAATTAAAAAATGCTGAGCTCTATGTTAGATTACAATTTCTGAAAAATTTATTGTGCCTGTATTTCACAAAACAAAAAAAGTGAATATTGACGTTAATTCTGTTTTACGGGTTCAAGAATGGTATCAGATAAAAGCCAGTTATTTGGATTCGAAAAAAATTATCTTAGCCGCTAAAACAACTGGTATCAGTGAGTGATTCAACCTTGTTTTTGATTATAATGAGAAAAAAAAATTTATCAGAAGAAGTTTAAAAATGAGACAGAGAGTGGTTGGCAGTCTTGAAGAAACAACTCCCCGTAAGAAGAAGTATAAAACTGCGAAAGAGAGTAGCAAACAATATATGCATAACCGGCTTAGATGGATATAGCTAGATAGTCTTTCGATCTTTATCAAAAAAAAAATGAGGGTTTTCTTGCATTTGAAGACAACGTTGCTTTTACTTCTGAAAAATTTAAATTTTAAAATAATTTATGTTTTCACTTTAAAAACTTTTTGAACCTTCTTTGATTACCACAAAATCGAGTTGAATTAAATCAAAGCTACAATAAACACACACTATTTTAAACACCATCATCAGGGTATGTTAGTTTTTTAACCCTAAAACAATATTTTAAACTTCGTTCTCGACACTAAGAAACTGTCTTTGGATACATTTTGATCAAATCGAAACTGACACTGTTTAAAATGACATATCCCTGATTCCATGTTCATGTATGTTTTTTTTACTAGTTTAACGCAAAAAAAGTGTCGGTACTATTTTGCTGTTATGTTAGATCGACTTTTTTTAGTTTAAAAAAACTGCAGTTTAACCCGCTTGATTTTTCATACTGGTATTGCTGAGTAACACCCGTATCAACAAAATTGAGTGAAAAAACCTGAAATTTCTCTACCTAGTAAATTCAATCTAAAAGCAAAACACCCCGACAACCTTTTTAATTCAAGCGTCAGCGTTTTTCTGAAACTTGAATTTTTTCGAGGCGTGAAGGGTTGGGTACGCTTCTCTGTTTTTCAGGGATTTTGTAGATGCCAAATGAAGAGTCCCCTCTGGTCTTCGATCTCAGCCAATCGATCCAATCAGAAAACAATAAATACCCTTGATGAAGAGGTGAAATTAAACTCAACATCCGGTAATAATAATTCAAAAGATGCCTAAAAGTGTGCGTTTTGTCTTGTTTTTTTTAATTACAGCTTTCGGTGCAAAAACATTTTTTTTTTCAAGTCTAGAAAAATCTTTTTGGTTGACCTTAAAAAATTGACACAATACAAAAATCTGCATCACTTTTAAGTCAACAAACAGAAGAAGGTATGCAGGCTTGCCATAACTTATTTGAAAAACTACAATTAGGCCATTACAAAATAGTATTAGGCCACGAAAAAATACTATTAGGCCACAGCGCGTTCTTTTTTTTCAAAATTGTTTTCGAGGTGTCTTACAATTTAATACGAGCCATTTTAACACCGTACATTTTAACACCTAGTCATTTCACTATTAAACAATTTAAATCCACACCAATTTAACTCCTTTTTTCAGTTTAACACCGAACATTTTACGACCTAGTCATTTCAATACTAAAATTAATACTGTCTGAACTCCTTATCTTACTTCTTATCACACTTAAGTTAATTTTGCAATTAATGCACGCATCATTTTGAAAAACTTGGTTTATCTTAGTTATACATGCTACAATGTAGCGATTTTAAATTGCTAAGGCAGCAAAAAGTAGGAGAGAAATTATATGGAGTTAACTTGTTAAGAGTTTAAAGGGAGAACGGGGCTGTTTGTTCTCATTAAGGCTGAGAAACTCGGTCTGCAGAAATTCTTTATTATTTTTATTATTTGTTAGATTTGGCAAAATTCGCCAAAAAATGTTTGAATTAGATGCCTGAAGTTTTAAAGCCGATGTAGCAATAAGTAGAAAATCAAAAGAAAATCAAAGTAGCTATAAACCTAAGCAAGGGTCAGTTTTTGGTCCAAGACACCAAAGGTCGGTGCGGGACTGGTCACGTTTTCCGCGGCGAGCAGTGCTACTTTCAAGCCATTAGAGGGCGAGGAGTGGCTAATCACTTTTTCTGCAATGAGAAACTCATTTCTATATAGCCGCAATTGAACATTTTAAAACATATTGTGGACTGATGGTTTTCCGTTTTTGATTTTTAGACGCATTTGCCTGCCTGTAGACTCGATTTTTGATCCATGAGCTTGGTACACTGTTACATTTTTAGAAAGCCAATAATTTTTTGCTTGAAAGTATCAGCTTGACTGAAAAATTTAGATGAACGAGGATTGCTCTCATAGACTGATCAACAAAAAACATTTCAACTTCCAATAACGCAGAAAAATTTGCGCCGGCAGCAGACGATTTGAAAATAAACAATGAACACAAGAAAAATAAAGATTTGTTTTTTTTTCGGAAAAATTTCAGTTTTCAAATTAAAAAATAGTTGGTCTCTATTCGTTTATTTTTAATAATATTTTTTGATCGACAAAACTGGGTCATTAAGTAAAGTTTTCGTTGTGCTCGGAAATCTGAAAATTTAGGTCCACTATCGAAATAAGACATCATTCTTTGTTTTACGTGTTATCTACATTTCATTTTTACTTTTCGATAGTGGAGTTTGCCTTCCTTTTAACATAGGACATGAATTGAATCCGAAACGAATTGCAAATAAAAATAAAACAGTTTAGCGTCAACAAATTCAATGACTTTTCGTGGGAAGAAAAAACAGAAAAAATAATCTCGATCTATGAGTCTTCACTACACTCATCGACTTAAAAAGTTCCAATTTGCTTATCTCTTTTTGCAGAGAACAGAACGATAGCAGAAATGACAGACTGGAATAAAAAAATATCGTCAGTAGCCTGCTGGTAGTATCGACTAGCGTTAAAATCAATCAAATATCAAACAAGATCTGCATTGACAAGGGGCGAGTTTGCTCTGCATATCTTTCAATGAGGCATTTTCTTGTTTTCAATGCTTGCCGTTGATTGATATTTCAGAAACAGTTTATATTAACTTAACCACTTTTAACTTTACTCGAAAAATACGAAAAAAATTCGGGGAAAAACTTAATTTTCCTTAATTTGCCCGGAAAACTGCAAAAAGTTTAAAAATGAACGCATATCTGGAGTTTGGAATGATTGTCTGATTGACTTATGTTGTTTTTCCATCATACAAAATTACTAAACCACACTTGTATTCTCTATTTAAAACTGTACAAGCAAATACTACAAGAAGAAGTCTTTGATATAGTTTAAGTCTGGGTTATTTTCGAACTGAGTTTGGTTTGTGGCGAATAGGAAACAGTAGTGTGTCAGCAGCTGCTGTAGAAGCTCTTCTTCGTCTAGTCTCTCAATTTGGTACGCCTTGTTGTAACCTAGAAACATTTAAATGTATACACGTTTTATAGAATATACAACTAATCGCCCCCCCCCCCCCCCCCCCCCTCAGTGATTCGACCCCCTGCCGACACAAAGGGCTCCCCTTTATACTATTTTGAGTTATCCATTTTTGATGATCCAATAAATCGAATATAGAGAAGATTGCTGTTGTTTTTTTTTTCGTTTGAGACAGCTTCAACTAAAACAATTACAAAAAAAATTTCTCCCTCAAAACATTTTCTCCCATTCGGCATAAATAGGTCGAAATTCGATCACAACCGCAAATTTTTTACAAACAACCATCCCTTATTTGAGCTCGACAAGCAAATGCGTTTCACCTATTCTAGCTTCTCATATTCTTGTTGCAATTGAAATTTATCAATAGAGGGAGGGGAAGGAAAGAGAAGAACAAAGAGACCCAAAGCCCATACCAACCTGGCAGTAACTGAGACAAGTGTGAAGTCAAGCGAGCCTTGACATGTCCCCACTGTCCTTTCTTTTTAAACCTCTCCTCTTGAGTCTGTAGTGAAGTGCATGCTGTGTCTCCTATGTTGGCACACCATGTTGACCTGATGTTGTCCATCATAATCTGTCCAAATCTGTCATCAATATTCACCCAAAACAAAACAAAAACGAGTTATTTTTGAACTACGCTGGGGGCGACCACGCAGGGTAGAAATTTAGCCAACCTATTCAATAGTTTAAACAACGAAAAACTTGCATTTTTAACTAGTAATTTCAATCTTGGCTCTGAGTGATCTGAAATCTGACCTAACTTCGAAAAAAACTTTTTAGAGAGTGAAAAAGCGTTTCCGGTATTTCATCGGACTGGAATTTCTGAAAGTAATGTATTATAATAAATCAATCGACCCCATCTGACGTTAATTTGTGGCACCTTGATTTGCCAGGAAAACTTGTCCGAATGTACAACAAAAACGCAAGCCAATATGAAAAAAGCCAACACAAAAATGATGGTAAAAACTCTAAAGAAGATTGAACATAATCATCGTTAAAATTTCTTGTATAAATATTGTAAAAGTCATTCAAAGGTGAAAATCTGAAACTTTCGCGAGGTCTACCTTAGTTGGTCCGGGCAGGGGCAGATCTAGGATATTCTCCAGGGTGGGGGGTATTGGTATTGGGCATATTTTCGAAAAAATGTCGAAAATTTCATCGACTTTTTTTGTCGACCGAATTGATTTTCTGAGCTCTCCCAAATCATTATGAATACCCCATTTTGACCAAATTTTAGGGTCAGTCAGCCAAAAATAGATATCTCAAAATAGTACAAAGAGGGACCCTTTGGGTCGGCAGAGGGTAAGAAAAGTTCATCCGACCACTCCCGCATTTACGATTGATTTGCATGAAAATAATGAAAACTTACTTGTTCATAGAGCAGAAAAAAGGCATCCTTGAACAAATTCGGAATCGTATCAATCAACTTCTGACTCTTTTCGCTCTCCAAATAGACCAAAACACACTCAGACAAAAACAAAACGGGTAAATTTTTATCCAATCCAGTCAGCTCTACAATATGGTTGAGCGCGACTTCTGGGTCGCCAGATATATCCACATTTAACAGATGGAAACTTTCTGAAGTTATTCCTGTTGGCGTAATTTTGGCATCCTTTGACAAATATTGCCTTAAAAGCGGATTTCTTTGTACAATGAATGATTTTCTCATCACAACTTCTTTTAGGTCAACTTCGATGTACTTGTCCGGTTTCAGATCTAGGTTCCAAAATAAGGTATCGAATCCCGCGCCTAGTGATACAATGTTGCATTTTCGTTTGAATATTGATATGAATTCAGACACGACTAGTCGTACGACCATAGCACGTACGTATGTTCCTATCAATTCGCAGCGTTTTAAAAGGCGACAACTATTTACAAATCAGTTTATCAGAAACACCTCCAAACTAAATCAACTTTCATAATTACAAAAAAAAAACAGATGAAAAAATATGTCCTAGCGGGGAACAGATTCAATAAAGTTTCAAAGAAAACTGAAACTTTAGACCACACAAACTGCCTCGTTACGAATTGTCGCTTTTTAAAACCAATGCGACAATTTTGAGCAGTCACGCTTTCGTTCCTAGACTGATTTCGGGTGGTTTTCGCTCGGGGTATTTGGCAAATGCTTTGATGTAGGGGTCTTCGTAGTAGCCGAGGGAGACTGCGAATGCCTTGCAGTTGGAGGCGTGGTCATTAGTCTTGGTTACATCGGACATCTGAAGCCAATATAACCGCGGAACTTAAAATGAGCAGCATACGGTCGGTCAAGTTTTGAACAGAGACGAAACTACAGTTCGCAAACCTTTGTCCGAACATTCAATTTAAATTGACAAATAAATATAGCCAACAGACAGTTAGATAAGAGTTAATGAACTTGAGGAAACAGAAAAAAAAGACATGGTTTTGGATATTCTTATGATTTCAAAAAGTTCATAGTTCATTGACTCCTATACTTTTTGAAATCATAAGAACATAAAAACACAATAACCTGTTGCAGTCCAAGTAGAACAGAATGTTCCGACTACACTGAAAATATTTTTCACCGTTGGATATGATTATTTTCGGCCAGCTTTATTAAAAACGGGACCCTGAAAACCAAGGATGGCCGAGTGTTAGGCAAGTAGTACAGAATGTGCACACCAAAATGGTTTAAGATGACTTATAAAATACAATTAATTTTCGACCACGTCACTGAAAGCGACTCGAAGCAACAATAATGTCAAGGTTTTTGCCGCCCAGTTTTAGTTACTCCAAGTAAAGCTAGTATGAGGTGGACAAGTATATCAAATTAAAGCCTAATTAGTCGTTATTTTCAATACAAAAAATCGAAAATACTGCCGAGTCAAGAAAGACTGCTCATTTCAACCCCCTGAACAACTTTCGGCAACCGGTTGATTTGAAATCGTTGATTGATATATGTAAAGAGACAATATAATCAGTGATTTCATGATGTGTTTGAAAAATCCTTCTTTTTGAAAAAATCCCAAGCCAAAACATTCAAAAATTTGATGGACAGTTTTTGAAATTAACTTTTTTTGGATTTTTTTTGCAATTTTAACTAGATTTTGAAATATTTTTCGCAATTTTAAATTCTGAAAAAATTTCAATTTAATTACAGATATCATCTTAATTGACCAGTTTACAGATAATTGACTTGATTATTGATTATGCGGGTGATCATAAACACTACTTAGAATTCTTTTACACAGGCGAAGCTGAGCTTCGCACCACTTGCAATACAACTAGATCTATTGAAATGAATTAAGATTGATGTTTTCGAATTCAAAACCAATAAAAAATGTGTCCCTCATAACTCATACAGGCACATAAAAACTTTCTTCAAGCATCAAATGACCGAATAATAGGCTACTAAGCCGCTATAAACACAGAGGCGAAGCTTCGCTTTGCAAACACTAGCGATAACACAAATACCAGCTCTATAAAGTGCAAAAAGTAAAAGTAGAAATGTCTCGAATTAGCAAAAATTCGGCTAGCTCTGAGATTCGGTCCTGCGACTTTGAGATTAGGAGACTCACACAGTAACCACTCAACCACGAAAGCGTCATAGGTACCAAACACTAGCCACAAAGAACGCAGAGAACAGATGCTGTGCATTTTCCAATGCTACAGTGAAATTTCCAAATAACTGAACACTTTTAACGAACAGTTTTATTTGCGAGTTAGATTTAAAAAAAAAGGTTCTTAATAATACACAAAGCTGATCACTAGAGTAAACAAGCCAAAATATCAAGCCGAAAAAAAAGAAGAAAAAAAGTGCGGAGGGGAGCGTAAAAATGGGTTTCTCTTGAAACGACGCAAAACACCGCCACTAAGTGGATGAAAAACAAGCCGAAAAAAATTGAGCCGATAAGCAAAAAAAGGAAATACGAAGTCAAGGTTAGTAAAATTACAAATTGCAGGAAAAAATCAAACAGTAAAATTAACATTAAAAAATGCGCGCAGCAAAAAAAATATTACAAGCTGTGTCAACTAAGCAGACAAATAATTGACCGACCATTTTATTTTGAAATAGCATATTTCCTGTTTGAAAAAAAACAGGCCTTAGTCATATTCGAACCCAGGACATTTGCGTATTTGCTACCTCCAGGCTAAGTTGGACACGAACGCGAAGAAATTTCAATTAATTATGAAACAAGGCACCACTAAAGATGAGTCCAGAAGACCTGTGAACAAGGTTATTTACGGGAAAAAATCTAATGCCTATTGCAATAGCATTACTGCTAGGGTAATAAGAAATTCGGATAAGATTCAGAATTCTTCCAAAAATTTTATGGAAAACAGATTCAAATCAGACTTTTTCTTCTACTTTAATGGCAAATACTGCGCTAGCCGTTTCAAAAACCTCATTTTGAAGGCTAAATTCTCAAATTTTGAAATCAATTAAATTTTTTTTTCAAAAAAAGCCAACAGACCGTTGAAATGCCAAAAAACTACATTAACTTCAATCAGACATTCTTTGAAACGCGTTGTCGAAATTGTCTTTAACATAATAGTAATGCACCCATGTGCCACTTACTGTTCTTCAACAAATCTTACAAAATTCGCATTTCTCATGCCATGGCTTAAGCCCCTTGAGAAAACATTCACTATTAAATAAAATTTTTTAACCTTAATTTTAAAGTTTTTGATCTGTAATTATAATTGTCATCATAATCATCAATCTTCATCTTCGTCATCATCTTGCAACATGAATTCTATAAACTCTTTACACTTCCCTCTAGTCGCGCTCTTATCGAACCATTCAGCTTCTGGACTGTCGTAGGGATCCGAGTGACTCCACTGGATGAAGGTCTCCTCTGCTATGACGTCATTCTCGTAGAGGAACAGGAACAGGTTGGGACTGAGGGGGACGAGGTGGGGGTTCTCGTTGAACATTCTTTCAATAGTCAAAACTGCTGTCTAAAAAAAAAGAGTCAGAACTCAACTAACTATACTTAGACAGGCTGGATAGCCTTTCATAGATCCTTTCCAAAACGCAGAAACCACAACTATTAATCATCTGGATACGAAGGCCTTATCCTCCTTCATTTTTAAAGATTCGAAACTAACCACATTGTGACAGGCTATTTCCAAATGAATTTTCATCTGCGACTGCTACTCAATCGATGAACCTATTATGTCGCCGTAATCCATCCAACATCGAACGTATTTAAAAACTGACTTTCTCGCCATTAAAAAAAATCTTGAGCCTTTTTGTAAGCCAGCAAATTCTATTTTCAAGCTTTCTCGGCACTTTTGAGCAGAACGGCATCTGATCTTTTTCTGGAAGGTTTCCAGTTACAATTTGATTTTTATTCGTTGCATGCTCTTCCCTTACCATTATTGTTTATTGTAACCTAAAACACTTTTCGAAAAATGCTAATTTGGAGAACTGTAGCAATGGTACTACCTGTGCGTCAAGAAAAGCATGTGCAGAACAAAAACTTTCATTCAAACCAGCAGATTTGGGAGCAATAGCGCAGACCTTCAGGACATCGGACACCCTAAGGAGACCTCAAAGAGAACTTTTGGGCACTTCTGCTCCCAAAATTTAATATTGGCAAAAATCAGAGAATCATTTTACTAAAAATTTGTTCATTCAAAATTTCTTCGATAAACCACCCTCTCCGCTAAAATCTTAAATCCATCAGTTATTCCAATTACATTCTGTGGTATACCTTTGCTTGCTTGATTATTCACCATGAAGTTATCGAAGGAAAATAATGAAGTGCTATCTTACCAATTGACTAGCTTGCACGTTGCAATAATGAACCAGCAACTTCTTGAAGCGGTTCACATTTTTCTGTGCATTTGCCAACCACTCTTTTCTCTCCAGAAGAGAAGGTTTGTTATTCAAGTTCAAAACAGTCTCCGTTACACACTGTACTACATCTGTTAGAGATGTATTGTACGCAAACTTGGATGAGTTTATTTCTAGGATCAAATCTTCAATGTTAGAAAGACCTTCATTAGCATTTCGCTCTATACTATCTTGAACTTCCGATACAAACACTTCGTGATAATCTAAAACTCCCATTTGACCTACGTCATCAGCTATATCGTCAACATCTGAATCTGAGAATGCTCCACTAGATTCTAGAACATTCGATATGTCGTCATCGTTTTCAACCAGCCTGATAAATTTAGAGAGATCTTCGTAGTTCAGTAGGTTTGCATACTGGCGTTCGTTAAGCTCTTTTATATTCATTTCATAGAAATAACCAATAGCTTCCGGGCCGAACATTTCATTTCCTGTACATTCTAAACTGTTTTCGAAATTTTTCGAAGAAATTAGAATCTTGCTCGAACTAAGTTCACATTTTGGTCCAATGCAACAGTTTTGACCAATAAAACACAAACCTGACTTAATTTTTGAGTTCTCTTTGATAATCGAATTACTGCTAATGAAACAGTTCTGTAAAAAGCAGCTGTCCTCAATTACAACTCCATCTCTGATAAAACATCGAAAAAGACAAACATTCTGTCCAATTTTGCAATTTTCTCCTATAGTTGAAAACTTTAGAGAGCTTCCTTTTCCAACAGAGGAATATTTCCCGATTATCGTTTGGGAAAAAAATGAAGTTGACCTTTCAACTTTTGAGTTCTGATGAATATACGTTCCCCCATTTGGCTGTAAAGAGAACTTTTTGTCAATAATTTCTGGCACCAAAGGGTAGATATTTCTTTGCAGTAACATCGTTGATATTATTTGAAGCTGAGAAAACGATTGTAATGCGTGTGATATGAACTCGTTCGGTTCAATTGAGTGCGCGTGAATAACTTGCCCCATTATTTCTTCGTTGTCCAGTACGCCACGTACAAATTGGGTCATGTCTTGGAAGTCGAAGTTGTCTTCGAATAGGTGCGCCACATCGGGCGAACAAATCCAGAGTCCGCTATCTAAACATTTTGGGGGTCTTTACTGTTCGGCTAAAAACTACTAAATGATTAATTGAGCTTCTATTTTCAATAAAATCCAGATCTTCTTTCGCTGGGTTTAATTGCGACCAACCCGAGTCGAACATCGATCTCCAAATTTGAAAAAAAAAACATTACGATATCAGTTTTGGGCCGTATGACAGAATAGAACCAATTTGGGCAAAATTAACCAAATTGAATATTCATTAATATGAAAGCAAAAACAAACTGCATCATAACTATTGCAAAATTTTCTACTGAGGAGACCAATTGATTCGTTTTTAAACGAAAAAAAAAATGGTTGCTAGAATTTGAGAATCAAAACTAAATTGACAAAATGAAATCAAAACATATTTAAAAAACTTTTACTAGCCTCTGATGCGCTTTCAGTTTTAAGAATGTTCCTCAACTCATATGGTTAATTGAGCTTCTGTTTAGCAACTTTGAAAATGATCAAACTACACAATAAAAGGTCAACTAAGTTTGAATGTATTCTATTTTCCGCAGCATGAAAAGAAAAATTCACAAATCCTGCTGCCTCAAATTTTACCTTTACTCACCATAAAGATTCGTGATAAGGGTCATCTCACTGAAGCTATTCAGCACACTCAGGTCGATCGACATCTTACTCGGTCCTGATTGGCTGGAAAACCAGACGATCTGATTGGTTGCCGGCTCCAATCCCACATTAAACGTTTGCAGAGCTGAAGCCACAATCGGGTTCGTCGGTGGCAGACTTGTGGGTAAAATAGCTGTCATGACACTTAATTTATTCTTTTTATACCTCTTTCTATGCTGATCGATCGCATCGCGAATATCGATATTAGTGATTACGTCATAATCAGCTATCAAAAAATGATCTTTCAGTTTCCCTCGCGCCTCCAAATCGCGAATTATATCGCCAAGCGATAGAAACTTGTTAGAGTGTACTAATTCTGCTTGCACTTTACCCTCCAAAATTTCTATCATTTTTTTCAGACAATTTTCATGAATTGATTTCTGAGCGTAACACAGAAAAACTTGAGTAACTCCATTTGAAGCAAGTCTTTCAATTAGTAATTGAAGAATTGATTTCCCGGCTATTGTAATATTTAATTGGGATTCTTTTTCAGTTTGAAACATGCTACTGAGCTCAAATTGGTTGTCGTCTGATTTCGAAAAGGATTCGCAAACAACCACAGCCTGCAGTTGTAGCTGTTCCGATTCAACGGGCATTTTCACTTCTAAAAATAAACGAGCAGTGGCAGTTTTTTTTTGCAATTAAACATTTAAAACAACTTATCGGCACAGGTGGGACTCAAAATATGACAAATTTAGTGGCGCCGAGATTTGAATTTTACCAACAAAAAGATTTTTTTTTGCTTTTTGTCACAGATTTTTTTTAAACAGCTCATATCACCGCGAACCCCTTTTTTAAGCCCTCAAGCCGCTTAACGTCGAGAGAATTTCTCCTAGTTTGACTTAATTTTAGGCTCGTTGTTGGTAAGGTGAATGCCTGTCACCCGAATCACTTCTGTTCCTACCACTACAAGTGGCGAGGAACTTTGAATTCGGGTGTTTTCACGCAAAATCAGGTTCCACGCATAACTAACGGAAGGCGTTCAGAGATATAATATATCAAAACCCTTTCAGTATTAGTTTGAACGACATTAAAACAATTTCCATGCTCCGAGAAAAACCGGTGTGAAATTCTATTTTTAGTCCAGTGTCAAGCGAATTTTATTAATGAAAATTTACTAGTTTTGTCAATAAACAGAGAGGTTGAGCAATACATCAAACACATGGCATTGCACACTAGCGGATATAAAGGAGACAGAAGCTACTAAATCCATAAGAAACAAGGATAGCCGGTTACTGTGCAAGTACCATAGTTCAAAAAAAATACAATAAAAAAGCTTTTTTTTCTTCAAATTAGGGTCGTTTTTTTCTGCGTGCGGTGATAAAACGATTTGAACGATTTGCAACTTAGGAATATTCGACAGTCAAAATAAAAAGGCAAATTGCACAACACTTCTGAAAAATGACTAAAAAAACAAAATATCAAAAAAAATTCGCCAACATACTCGAAACTGTGAAGTTTTTAATTCCCAAATGGCCCTACAAAAAATTCCAAAAAAAACAACTTCACTTGATTAAAAAAAAAGTTTCCAGGGCCTAAAATAAGCAAAAATAAGCTAATGTAAGCCTGCTCGCTCGCATTATTCGCTCGATTTTAGACTTAAAATATAAAAAAATTTTAAACCTGTTTTTCTCGATACTGGGTCAAATATTGAAAATTTCTTTCGGATCACGACTGAAAGGGCTTTAATATAATATATCAGTCGACTCATTTCCTTGACTATTTGTGTTACCTGATTTTACGTGGAAAACAAAAAGAAACAAGAAAGACTAAAACACACCCGAACACTAAGTTCTACCCATTTTTCAACTGATTGGAGCAAAAATAAATAAATAATGTATCTAAAAAACTTCATTCAGTGTTTCGATTTAAGTTCAAATTGAGGAGACTATATCGAATTACATAAACTCCAGCGTCCAATTACCACTGAACCAAAATTGAGCTCTTTTCCATTTTCCTCCACCAAATTCATCAATTTTTTCATCGTTGTTATGGCTTAACTCGTGGCGTTATTATGTAAGGTATGAAAAGCAAATATGTTCAAAATAAATTTTACTTTGGTCACAATACCATTGAGAGTCTCTACTGACAAAACTCACCAAAATGATGGACGAAATAAAATTCAATATCTAATAAACCATTTTCTCAAAAACAGGTAGCAAACTGCGATTCTTAACTGATCCAAAAATCTTATTCTCTGGTATACTTCAGCACAACAAATGTTTTTCTTAGGTTTGATCTTTATGATGCGTCGAAAAACAAAAATCCTCACATCTTTTGACATGATATTGGGGTTACATTACCACGAGTTAATTACATTTATTTTTCAAGTTAAATTAAATATACGTTCTATGCTTCAAAGAACCATAAAGGCTATATTTCAGATGATTGGCGAATCTAGATTTTTTGAAATCACAAATAAATAAATAAAAAACTTTCTAAGTTAGATTTTATGCTTTTTTCTTATTAAATGGGTTTGATCAACACGAGATCAACGGTTCTTTGAAACTGCGGGAAACATCTAATTTAGGCCAAAATGCTTTCTCACCCCCTTGAGGGTTCTTGAACTAATAATCAAAACTACATTTTGTCGCCTAGAATTTTGTCGTTATCATAAGGTTGTTGTTATAAGCTTGTAGAAACTAATTAAATTAAAAAACCAAAATAAAAATTGATAAAATTTTAAGATAGCCTAAGACGTAAAGTCCCTGAAGAGCTTTTGGTAAGCAAAATTATAAACACAAAATTCCATCTACACGAAAAACAAAATAAGAGTGGTAAGTTTGGCGTCGATTAACGCAAAATTTGATCAGCTGTCCTCGCCGAGGGTCAATAGAAAACTGGAAAATTTGCGCAAACTAATTAACCACAGTTGGCCGTATTGGCATCTTTCAAACCCTCGCACCTTTATGAAAGTAGTCGCAACTCAAATATCTTTTTAGAATTGAGCTCAGGTAACCGAAATGTTGTATTAGCATGAATTACTCTTAGTTAGAAATTCTTCGAAGTTTTTCTGGAGAAAAAATAATCTGCCCCACTATCTTCAAAAATCGTATTAATAAGAAATTTTAACAAAAACTTCAAGCTAAAAGGGTATTCAATACCGATAGGGAAAAAGGAATCACTAGCTAAATTGTTCCAACCACTGTATGCGCGGCAGTAGACTTTGAGTTCAGCTAATTTCTTTAAGCAAAGCCAAATACCACGAAGGCACACCAAACAAAAAATATCACATTGAATGCCTTTCAAGGGTCATTCACTATTTGCTGCACTTCAAAATATTTCAAAATGTTTCATGAAGCAAATCGGATGGCGAAACTTAAGGTATTTCTATGGAAGCTATTCAAGCGAAGAATCTTTGAAATATTTCAGGGTACTTCACACAGTGAATCGGTTCGCAAAAGATTCAAGTTTTTCTATGCAAGCTATTTAAGCCGTGAATCTTTGAAATAAATCCACGTTATAACAGACTGATTTGGTTTCTAAAATTTTCAAGCTAAGGAAGCTATTGATTTCTAAGGAAGCTATTAGAGCTACGCAACTTTGGAATATTTCAAATTATTTCATACACCGATTCAGTTTGCAAAAAGCTTTTAATTTCTCGAAGAAAGCTATTCAAGCTATGAAACTTTGAATTAGTTCAAGTTAATTCATAGACTGAATCGGTTCGCAAAAATCGGTTTCTAAGCAAGCTTTCAAAGCTATGAAACTTAAAAATATTTCAAGTTAATTCATAAACTGAATCGGTTCGGGAAAAGTTGAGGTTTCTTTCAGCAAGCTTTTAAAGCTAAGAAATTTCGATTTATTTCAAGTTATTTCAAAGAAACTTTAAGACATTTCAAGTTAATTCATAAACTGAATCGGTTCGAGAAAAGTTGAAGTTTCTCTCAGCAAGCTTTTAAAGCTATGAAATTTCGATTTACTTCAAGTTATTTCAAAGTTTTGCGAAAAGCCTAAGTTTATCTAAGCGAGCTATTAAAACTGTGAAACTGTTAAATATTCCAAGTTATTTCAAAGGTCAAATCGGTTTGCTGAAAGCTTGCTTATAAATGTTTGCTAAACTTAGACTTGAAAAATTTGAGCTTTTCGCAAAACTAAGGTCTATGAAATAGCTTGAAATGTTTCAAGTTTTTCTGAGCACACTATTCATGTGATGAAATTTGAAACGTCACGGCTTTTCATAGAGAAAATCAAATCGACTGACGAGAAGTGTCAATTTTCTAAGCAAACTATTGAAGCAATGAAACTTTGAATCATCTGAAGTTTTCACAGAGCAAATCGATTAGCGAAAAGTTCGTTTTTCTAAGCAAGCTATGACTGGCAAGAACTTAGAACTATTTCAAAACATTTCATAGCCATAATCGGTTTGCAAACACCTAGTTTTTCTAGCAAGGAGGTTGCTGTTTTTAGTTTGTTCGTTTCAGAATGTAATCAATCTGAAAAGGCAAAATTTCGGGAAAAAAATGAGCAGGCACTGTCTAGCCTTGAAAATGAATTGCGTTCTCTTGTCTAAAGAATTGAATTTTTGTCAAGAACATTTGAAAGTTCTAGAACAATATTGGCCTTCTCTTAAACGTTAAGCCTATATAATTTTTTAACCGTTGCATTCGACGAAGCTAAAACATTGCTTTAAGTTAATCGTTGCGTTAAAAGCGCACTCCGACTTTCATTTAATATATAAGATTTCAATTCATTTCTATCCGTATCTACAAACGTTAAAACGTACACTATACTATAACATCAATCAGCAAATTTGTTTGGCGAGAAATGATGATATGAAACAAGGGGAATATCTTGAGTTTCTAGCAGGAATAGAAAACAAGCTTACAACGAAAAAGAACCCTAGTCGAAAGAAAATGACAATCAAGATTCTTTCATGTAACAGCGATCTCACATATGGCTCTTTGTTTTTTGATTCTTTGATTTCTTTTTCTTTGATTCCTTGACGATTCATCATTTTCAAGATTATTCAGGACTAATTTCATTGCTCGACTGGTGATCGAAATATCAGATAAAAACGAATTATCAATTCGACAAATTTGTCATTTAGAATATCAGCTCATTCATATTAATGAATTTGAAAATGTTTAATCTAATGGCACCAAGGGATATGTATCTAAACATGATGAACTTCAAAGATAATTTTTTAACTAATAATTGATATGAGATCTATGATTTGTGACAATTAATAGAATAACACCAGAAGTTAGAAACAAAGTAGCTTTGGTTGATTTTTTTTATTGTCACGTAAAGCTGTTAAATAGTTTGTGGATATGTTATGTTAATTGTTAGTCATGAGGTCGACGAATTCATGGACATAAAGTTCGGTAATACGTTTAACTATTTTTACATTTTCGATAGTGCCAAAGAATAATCTAAAAAATCTTGGATAAAAAAATTTTGTCAAAAATTCGCTTATGCGAGAGATGTTTCGCCAATCCCCATTTAAATGAAAGATTCAAGAATGAAAGACAACTGACAACTAAGAGAACGATAGATTCAGAGATAGAGCTTTTGCACTCCAGATATATAAGTCACGTGATATGTTGCAAGCGAGACACACATTCGGTTGGTTGCATACTCGGATGTACTGGAAGATAAACTGATCGAAACTTTTTTTTACATTTTGAGGCGTCCTCGATATGTGGTGGGCGAAACTGGGCTATTTTGACCTTGGGGCATTGATCATCAGCAGTCAAATCTGATTAATCTGGATTTTCAGCGATCCTTGTTATTCATCTGTGCACAGTTTAACATAGAAACAAACTCATACTCGTGTTTCGTTTCCCAATTCGATGCCTTCTAATTAACATGTTCCACTTAGAATTGTAATAACTCCTAATTTGATGCCTGGTATAGGACGATGCTGAGTTGTGTGTTGTTGCGACAGAGAATGGCCAAGTGGCGGTTGTTGCGAGACAGACTCAATACGTCCATGCTATTACCTAGAACAGTCATCACAATTATGCAACATTACTACAAACAACACTGCAGCTGCGTGATTAAATAGAATTTGCGGGTTCTCACGACTGGGATCGCGGCGAATTCTAGGCTCGTTTTATTTGGATATGCCATTAAGATAAATAGATTTTTTCAGCTAGAACTCCCCAATTTATTAATTCGTTGACTTGAGTATGTCACAAAATAGCTCATAAAGCTGACATTTTCGTAAGATCTTTAAGCTCATAGAGACTCCTCTTTTACAGATCAGCCTCTTTCTGAGCACAAAAACAAATGAAACAGCTAATATGAGGGCGGCGGAGAAGTGCCTAAGGGTATCCACTTCACAGTCAAGACTTCTATGCTCAATGCTTGAGGTTAAATTTATAATTTCGAGCCAATGAAAAAGAAAAGCTGCATGTAGTTTTTAATCAAGAGCACAACAACAGTACGCCGTAAAAGAACTGAACACCTCATGAACACCTTATGTTGGTCTTTCTCTTGATGACAATTAATGGTAACTAACTTCACACTTAACTTAACCAACGAAATAATCATTATTTAGTTCTTTCCCATTATAGCTCCCCCGCGCACAGTAGCAAAAAAACATAGCCAAATGACAGTTGGATAAGAGTAATGAACGCAAAGAAAAAAGACAAGCCCTTTGAAAAATTTACCTTGCGAATTTTAAAGAAAAGATATATGCCCTTAAAGCTCTTTGAATTTCACGAACAATTTATGTTTGACCCTTATATTGTTCAAATTAACCTAATTTGAAAAAACTGGAGCAATAAGCAAAATTTTCATTCCGCTGGGTAATCTGATAAATAAATTCCACTTTCGAAATTAGAAGAAATCAATCACATTTTCCATGACCTTTACAATTGTGCTGTTCGATAGTGGAGTTTGCCGTCCTTTCAACAAAGAAAATAAAATGATCTTCAAAAGAAATCAAATGTCAAACCGCGAAAAAGCGAAATTGAGCGTGAACAAATTTCTTCCTGAAAAAAAAATTATCAGCAAGACCTAAATAAAAGTACTAACTTCATTCATTACTCATAATACAGAACCGCCATACTATGAATTTTTGATAAAAGGGGGCTCTATTTTGCTTAGCGGACCTTTTTTGCATAAGCGGGGTCTAGGCTATGATTTCTTGGTGAAGTGCAAATGATTTAAGGTACCTTCCAGTCTTTTATCGGCCACCATTCCAGACAAGCAGTCCAGTTTATTCAACACCGACCCCTCCTGATGCACATACAGTATCTGTTCCACATTCACACACAATGCACACCCCACTGGCGAGGGCGAGAGAGTCTCCGACTTCATCAGGGGCAGGTAGGGCTTCTGGCCTATATTGATTAGTTTGATCTGGGTGAAGCTGCACGCTAAGAGAAGTGTCTCGCTGTTGTTCACTTTGGCGGCTAAGATTGCATCTACAAACAGAAAACCCAACATGAAACCTTTCTAAGAACACGAATAGCCTAATGCTGTAAAAGCAGAACCAAACATTCCGGCCGAAATATACAAAGCAATGAATCAAGCAAATCAAATTTTTACACAAAGGCGAAGTTGCACTTCGCATACGCAAGCAAAAATATGACCGATAACGCTACTGGGAAAAACTGAATGAAAAAGACTTGAGTAAATCTACAAAATTTGAGCCTACGCACGACAATTATGCACGCCAATTTGAGTCTACACAATTTGAGACTACGCACGCCAATTTCAGTCTACGCACGCCAATTATGAGTCTACATAATTCTTAAGTGACGCAAGCTTATTATGATGCGTTAGCAGTACTAGTCACAGTCAATTTGAAGCGAAAAAAAATATTACCAATACCATGCCTCAATTTAGAGCGGACGGATTTTAACTAGTGTAAGAAAAAGTTCATTAAAAACATCCGACCCTGTCCAGGTTCGAACCCTCTTATTTTGTTGCTGGTCACCTTCCCGACCTCTTCGCTGCAGATCCATGATACCTGGAAGCTTAAGTGCTATTTGTAATATAACAGTCTGTGCTAATATTGTTAGCACTGGCTGTACTAAATAGATTGTTCAAGAACAGCCAATGCTTAATAGGCTGTACTTACTAGCTTGATAATGGTTATTGATCAGAAAGAACACATTTTGTTGCAACAATATTTGCGACTTAGGTTGGAAAAAAGATAGTTCATATTGTATCACAAGCTTTGCTTGTGTAAATTTACACTTTTGATAGCAGCAATGAGTAGAAACTAGTTCAAAATCAGATAAAATGAGATTAAATAAGGTTGAATTCTTCTAACATACCCATTATTTAGTTGGAAAATATCAATAAAATTCAGACTTTGAATTTCAATAATCTTCGATTGTTGATACGCTTTTGATAAAACAAAACCAATCGAAGAAAACTGGATCAAAAGAAATATTTTTTGAATCTACTGGTAATTCTGAAAGTAAAAATTCATTTTTTAATCAACAAGTCAGTCCAATTTTTGGCGAAATTTGCAGGTGTTATTGCAGCATAAATTATTTCTTTTAGCAAACGAATTTGAAATGAACTTAAAAAATCAAAGTCAAATTGCAAAAAAAACATCAAATTTGAGTGACAACGTTGAAAACATGCAAAAAAGAACACGACATAGGTAAGAGTTTTCACTACGTTCATTGACACCATAAATTTCAATGGAGCGACTTAATTAAACACATTTCCATTTAGAGACCGAATCATGACTGAAATGTCTTCAAAATGACGCAGCGCCGCTCTTCCACATCTGACGTACATTTGTGGCAACAAATTTTTCGTGGGGAAAAACACCTTCAACCATAGTTCCTTCTTATCATCTAACCACTTTCATTTCATTGATTCTTTTGATATTGTATAATTGAGCTCTCGTATCTTTTAAACTGGGTGTATTTTTAGACAACTATCGAATCTGCAAAAGCAAAGATACAAATAAACATTAGAAGAATTAGAAAAAAAACATCCCGTTAAACCTCATCAAATTTCAAGGAACCTCATCAAATGTCAATGAATGACCCTTTATATAATTAACACAAATAACTGGATCAGTAGGTAATCTTCTGTTCCTTATTTATTTTTTTTCCATCGGAACGATATTAGAACATCGCTGAAGCGCTGTTTTAGATTTTTTGGTCAAACTGAACAGGAGTTAGCACGTCGCGCTCGTTTTTTTTCGATTCGACAAAAACGAGCGCGACGTGCTAACTCTTGTTCAATTTACCCAGAAAATCTAAAAAGCGCTAAAGTTAAATCATTCCGATTTTCGATTCAGAAAAAAAAATGGAAAAGATTACCTACTGATCCCGTGTTTTGTGTTAATTTATGAAGGGTTAATTTTAGTTTAAAAAATAGAGAGAAAAATTATATGGTGTATTCAGGACCCAAAATATCTTAAGAATTTGGTTATTCTTGGCAGGTACTGCGTTCATCGACTCCTAATAAAAAAATCTATCATAATAGACCATAAAATATCAAAAAGATGCAAAAAGAATTTTAACAACAGCAAGTCATGAAGAATAGGAAGAGGCAAATAGCCAAAAAAAAATCCATAGCCAATTTTCCCATGTCATGAGCAAGACTGCTCGATTAACTTCAATAAATACATACATATTTAATTATAAGCATCTACATTTGCAAGTACATAAGTTACACAGAGGTGCAGCTAAACTTCGTAAATGCGAAACGCGAAAACAGCTCTGAAAACGTTCAAATTGCGTTGAAAATATCTGCTCACTCTCAATTATTGAAGCAAAGAGTGCCAAATATAACGATCCAAACACATATATTAGTATACACCGTTTTTTATATGTGAGCACCGATTTGTATTGAAAACATCACACTAATGAATAGTTTGATAATTCAACATAATGTTGATAGATTGGATCAGTATAATCGTAAATCACTTGAATCGTGGTTGTTGTTACCAACAAGTGCCTGTCGTAAGGCTGTTATTGCTACCAAATACTGCAACTAGTTAAGTAATGATTCGTAAAAAGCCAAAAATTGGAAATAAGGAGCGCGCGCTTCGTTGCGCAATAATTCAGTAGTGCATATATACTTGTGTCCCAGAAAAAATAGTCCGGAAATTTCAATTAAAATCGAAAATTATGAATGAGACAAGTTTCAATTCTAATTCATCCGGATTCATTCAAATTCAGGTAATTTTTTGGTCAAAACTTTCCGTAAGATTGCAGTAAATCAGTATCGCGATAGGCAGCCGTCCGCTAGTGATGGTGCCCAGCAATCATATAACTGCTGGTTGAAATCGCACGTCCGCTGCAATATGCAAGGTAAGTCAGCTCTCGCATTAAGTTAGCACTTAAATGGGTACCGGTTATATGCGCTTATCGCAGGAATAATAAGCCTTCGGGTTAGGTCTCCGAGCTGATTGACTAAGAAAATCATGACAAGTTTTTAGAAGCATTGTTTGTGGTTACCAGTTTGAAGCACATCGTTTTCAACGTGAAAACACCAAAAACTGAACTATTCAAAACTATGACAACTTGTCAATGGCAAAAACTTATACAAGATTTAATTTGCCGATGGTAAAGAAGGAAAAACCGCAGAACTTTAAAAGATGCTATGAAAAACAAATTGAAATTAGCTCAAACATCAATTGCATGAATGTCAACGCATCCAGTTTTAGCTGTATCTTTCGAAAGGCGGGATTGGTCTTCCGATCGCCTCCAAAGTCTATCACGCAGCCTTCTTAAGAAGTTTCATGGACACCAAGTCTCCTGCCGACCAGATCATTGATATTTCCTCTCATGAAGTCCCTGCTCCGGTTCAAGACTGTCTCGATAATGCCTTTTTATTTGTTCCCGTCTCTTTTGCTCCGAAGGCTCAAACGAGGCTGACGGACAGCATCAATGGCTCTTCCTGCATACAAGTTCTCTTTGCATCTCCCTCCAACAGCGGTCACTGGCTCTCAGCTGTTCCCTCGGTCTCTCTATGCACCCGGCTGAATTCCGGATTGCTTTGTACCACAGACTAGCCATCTTTTTCAGCGAGGCATTTGTCTGCTTCAAGTGCTCAAAAACCTTGGACATTTTCGGCAACCACGCTCCTGCTTGTTCGGCTGATTGTGGCCGAATTCCTTGACACGATCGCCTATGCCCCCATGCTCGAAAAACCCAACCTCACAAATACCCGTTCTCGTCCAGGTGAAAAATTGCTTTCCTGCTGGTCCCGAGGTCGCCCCGCCACTCATGATGTGCAGTAGTAAGTTTTCTGCAGCCAAATACCCTCTTTTGCTGGAGCTTACGCTGGTTACGCCCTTGAGATCTCCGACAACCGAAAGATATCCAAACGTAGACTCCCCTTTGAAGTAGCCAGTATTTCATTGATTTCACCTTCAGTCGAAACTTTCAATGGCTGATCCCCCATCGCTACCAAAAACTGTGTAGGGTGGACTCTATGGCCGCCGGCTGCGTGTTAACTCCTTCAGCAGCTTTCCGTGGTACTGCAATGACGTAATGCTTACATGTTCTGGCCCAAATTTCGTGCAACTGAAGCTTATTGTCTATTATCTCCTATACTGTCTTCACTTTCAATGTTAGTAAAACATGCAGTTGTTTAATTTTGCTGATTTACACCAATTTCTTGATATTAATTTTAATTTTTTATATTTTATTTTCTATATTTTGAAGAAAAAAAATTGGCTGAATCATATCGGTCACGGATTTTTATACCAATCTATTAAAAATTGCATTTTCGGTTTAGTAGTTTTTAAGTGGAGCATCCCCAGCCTCAGAGATTCGCCCCCCTCTAACCTCTCCCCTTGTTTCTATGTTGACATCCATTTTTGACCACCCAATACTTGAATTTTTCTCAAGGCGATTTGGGCGCCAGCATACAATTGTAATTAAGGGGGAGAGCTTACCAAAATTGTAGAACAATTTATGATGGACATTTTTTTGTTTAAATTATCCCAATTTGAGAAAACTGGATCAATAGGTTAAACTTTTATTTCGCTGGGAAATCTGATAATTAATTTCCAGCTTCAAAATCAGAGTCGATCACGTTTTGCGCGACCTTTACAATTTTGTTGTTCGATAGTGGATTTTGCCTTCCTTTTAACAATAGAAACGCACTGAACTTAAAAAAAAGCCAACCGCGAAAAATAAAAATTGAGCGTGAACAAATTTTAAGACTATTTCCTTGAAAAAAAATCAACAAGACCTATATAAGAGTCTTCACTACGTCCATTACTCTTAATATATAGAAACTTGAAAGAAGGCTCTGACCTTATCCTCAAAATACAGCTGATTAAGCCCGCATCCGCCGACATAGGTCTGGGGACCGGCTCCCAGCACCACGGCTTTGGCTTCCTAAAAATGCTGCGTTGTTTCAGGAACCTTAGGTCTCTTATCTGAAGACCCCCTAAAAAAATGTTTGCAAACGAAACCACTGAAAAATACTAGATTGG